AGGTTTGATCTGCGATATATGAACCACGCGGAGATCTTCTCCAGTATCCTCCAGAACCACTTCATAATTTACAGGGCCAGTCCTTTTCATGATTCTGTAAGGACCTTTCCATCGTGGAGCAAGTTTGGCCATAAAAGATTGATCAGCCTTTGATAAAGGGTGTGAACGAATCCATACACGGTCTCTTTCTGAGAAGTTTCCATCTCTTCTTCCACGGTCATAGTTGTGTTTCTGTCGCTGCTTAGCTTTTTTCAGATTGACATCAGCAAATTCACGGAGCTCAGCAATCTGTTTTACTGTAGCATAGACAGGTGTGTCAGGGTCACAAAGGGTTGGACTCAGCTCTGCATCCAAAGGCCCTTTCAGAGGTCGTCCAATGTTGAGTTCAGCTGGAGTCACACCAGTAGATTCATGCACTGCAGAGTTTAAAGCAAACCGAAATTCCGGTAGGTATTTATCCCAACTCTTATGTTTGTTACTGACATAGGATGAGAGCATAGCCTTGATGTTGCGATTAACTCTCTCCGTAAGGTTAGTTTGTGGGTGATATGCAGAGGTTTTCTTTGGTGTGAGATTCCATCTTTTACAGGTCTCCTCGAATACAGAAGAAATAAATTGTGGACCTTGATCAGAGAGAATGTATGTTGGCACTCCCCATCGTGTCAAAATCTCTCTGGTCAAGTATTGGGAAATTATTTCTGCAGTAGCTTTGCGGAGGGGAAACATTTCAACCCACCGTGAGAAATAATCCACAAAAACAAGTAGATGGACATTACCAGTAGAACTCAGTGGAAAGGGTCCCATAAGGTCCACGCCCAACATCTCCCATGGTGCACTCACCTCTGTCTGTTGCAACTTGCCAGGAGCTTTTCGGGTTTCAGGTTTGTACATTTGACAGACTTGACAGGATCTCACATAGTCCCGAACATCAATGCTCATCCTCGGCCAATACACCAAGGCTTGTAACCGTTTGTAGGTTTTGTATCGTCCAAAATGTCCAGATAAAGGGTCATTATGATTGTGATGAAGTAACTGTTGACGGAGTGATGGTGGAATATAGACTTGGTAAAGAGTTTTGTGTGGTAATTGAACAACTCTGTAAACCTTGTCTTCCAGGATAGTGTACTTTATTGTTGGCGACTCATGTACTGTTCCTTTGTCCATTATTTGTTGGTAAATGTTTTGTGCGAAAGGATCCTGCTGCTGAGCCTTCCAGATGTTCTCATCTGTCACTTGGAGTGGGTGAGAAGTGTCACGTTGCGACCGGAGTACGACAGCACAGGTAACTGGTGAATGGTCAGAGGCATTGATTGGGGCTCGTGACAGAGCATCTGGAACAGTGTTATACTTTCCTTTTCGATATTCCACTGTGAAGGAGAATTCTTGCAGACGAAGAGCCCACCGGATCAGCCGAGTGCTAGGTTTATGAGTTTTAAAAACCCAGATCAGAGGTGAATGGTCAGTCACAACGGTGAAGTGTCGTCCTTCAAGGTAATATCTCCACTTTTCAATGGCCCAAACAACAGCAAGACATTCTTGCTCAGTAGTAGAGTAGTTCCTTTCAGCTTTATTTTGAGTTCGGCTGGCAAAGGCCAGGACTTGCTCGGTGCCTAACCCAGTCTGCTGAGCTAGAACGGCTCCCAAACCCACATCACTAGCATCAGTATAAACAATGAATGGCAGTTTGAAATCTGGATGACCCAGAATGGGTGGAGAGACCAGGTGAGTTTTCAGAGCATCAAATGATTTTTGGCAAGATGGTGTCCAAAGGAATTTGACTCCTTTTCGCTTTAGAGCATTGAGTGGTTCTGTCAAGGCAGAAAAATCAGGCACAAAACGATGATACCAGCCAGCCATTCCCAGAAATCTTTGAAGCTGTTTAATATTCTGGGGTACAGGAAATTCTTGAATGGCTTTAATCTTGTCTGGATCTACTACAACACCAGATGAGGATACTATGTGTCCCAGAAATTTTATGGAGGAACGGAAAAACTGGCTTTTCTTCATGTTGACTGTAAGGTTGGCTTCACGAAGTTTGTCCAACACGGCTTGTATATCGGCACTGTGCTGATGGTAAGTGGTTGAGTAAATGATGATGTCATCCAAATATACAAAACAAATTTTACCTCTGAGTTCACCCAATACTACTTCCATAAGTCGTTGAAATGTAGCTGGAGCATTTTTCAGGCCAAATGGCATAACCTTAAATTGGAAGAGGCCATATGGACAGACAAATGCAGTTTTTTCACAGCTTTCTGGATCCATGCGGACTTGCCAGTAACCACTGTTCAAGTCTAGTGTAGTGAAAATCACTGCTCCAGAAAGAGACTCCAGGATTTCCTCAATGTTTGGCAATGGATATGCATCTGTATGTGTGACTGCATTTAGTTTTCTGAAGTCGACACAAAAACGTAGTTTGGGGTCATTTTTTTTAGGCACCAAGACAACAGGAGCGGCGTATGGAGATGTGGATGGTTCAATGATGTCATTCTCCAGCATTTCATCTACATGCTCCCTAATCATCTGAAGTTTAGCAGGTGAGACTCGATATGGTTTTTGTTTAATTGGCACATCTTGAGAAAGGTAAATCTTGTGAGTAAGTACATTCGTGCAGCCCAACTCTGTGGTACATACATCAGAATTGTTACGCAGTTGGCATAACAATGACTGTTTCCCAAAGTCATCCAGGTGTGTAGTGTGAACTGCCCTCTGCAACAGTTCATCATTGGTCCCAAGGGCAACCAGAGTAGCAGGAGCCACTGCAGAGAAAAAGGCAAGTTGCTGATGGGGTTCACTTGGCCAACATGCAAACTCTTGAAGAAAGTTGTAATGTTGTTTTCTGTTGAACTTGAACCAATAACGTTTTTCTGACACATCAAACTGCAGGCCAGAGAGGGAGATGAAATCAAGACCAAGGACAGCAGGAAAAGTGAGGTTTTGAGCAGATAGAATAACGCATGGTAAGGTGATTGACTGTTTTTGCAATGTGATAGTGATTTCGCTCCATCCCAGGGGATGCCGTCCTTCACCATCAGCCAAATATAATGGTCCTCTCGTCCAAGGCTTTATCACTCCATTGATTTCATTCCATACTCTCTCATTCATCAGAGTATAAGAAGAACCTGTGTCCAAGATAGCAGCTCCTTTCCAGGAACTGACGGTGATGGGAACCATCAACTGAGAAGGCAGAGGTTTAGTTGTTGATGTGGCTGGAGAACAGGTTTGGTCCAGAAGTTGAGAGTTTGTGAGGGAACCAAGAGTCGCTGAACTTTGAGCTGATGGGAGTTGGGATGAACTGCTACTTGGCTGAGGGAGGTTTGGAGAAAATGATCGATTGTTACCACCATGGGGGCAAGTTGCTGGAGGATGATTTCCTTTACAACGCCAGCAGAATGGTTGGTGTGGCCGATTGTTATTTCGGTTGTAATTTGGTTGTCTTTGCCTTACTGTGTTTTCATTGTCATGAGGTTTAGGTTCATTTATTTTAGATGGTAAACTTGCTTGTTTCCGGTACTCATACTGTTGCTGATGTTCTCGATCCTTCTCTAGCTGTTGTCCCAGGCGGACAAGTTCATCCACAGTAGTTAGCCTACTACTCCTTAGCTGACTGGCCAGTGTTGGATTTATGTTTTTCAGAAGCAGCTTGACAATTTCTTCCTCTGAAATTTGTGGTTTCCAGCGTCTGCATAGGGATTGGTACATGTACTCAAAATCCCTGATGCTTTCATTCTCTCCTTGGACTCTGGTCCTTACAAGTTCTGCAAGCTCATCCTCATAATCTTCAGAAAGAAAAGCAGCCTGGAACTGTCTTCGGAAGTCAGTCCAGGTATGCACCTTGTGTCTGGCTACGTCCCACCAATCTCTGGCTGTGCCATGCAACACATTCCGTAGGGTAGCCATGAGTTCCTCATCAGTTAAGGAATGAAGGGCCAAATAATCCTCACAGCGTTCCAGATACTGCAGAGGGTCGGGGGTGTCTTCTAATTTTCCATAAGTTGGAAATAACAATTTAACAGGACTTTTCCCCAGGTCTCGACTTCTATTAAGTAAAAAGGTAGCGCCACCTGGTGCTACTTGGACACCTGTCATCCCAGGCTGAGCAGTAGATTCCCACCGGGGTTTGCTGGTAAGTGATGTTGTTTCTGGTAGGCTATGGTAGATTGTCTGTGCAGTTTGATCCATTTCTGTATTCTGTTGACAGGTTTGAGCTGGTTTGATTCCGGCTCTAATGTCCTCAGTCATAGTCTTTATGGATAGTTGCAAAGACATGAGCTCTCCCTTTAGGCGAGAAACATCATCTTGCAAAGTGGAAATGCTGGTTGTAACCGGGACAAGTAGCTTGCTGAATTCCTTTAGCAGCTCAGTTTGTTGATGCTTCAATCTCCAGCCAAGGGTTGCTTTTGTTTGTGTGAGTAAATACTCAAACTGTGAGTCCATGCGTTCATATTGTTGCTTTGCATTGACTTGAATGATTTCCTCCACATGTTTTATTGTTGAATCTCTCATATTGCTCATCTCCTTTTTAAAACAGGACTTTACTTCCTTCATGGTTGCTTTTAGGTCCAGAACTTCTGGTGCAGCCTTTGTCTCTGCTTGAACCTGCGGAGGAGGCTGTGGTGATAAAGGAGAACCCAACACCAAATCCAGACCAGTCAACTCCATGTCTAGGAGAGAGTATGCTGTGGAGCGATTAGGAGGCATTATCATTGGAGGGGATGAAGTGTTTGAAGGGGGCTCGATTATATTTTCTTCAGTGCTCATTTTTTATTTTTTTGTTATATTTTTATTTCTTTATATATTTTTATTATTATTTTTTTTTATTATTATTTTTTTTATATATATATATATATATTTTTTTTTTTATTTGTCTAAGTGCTCAAAATGTCATTCCCTTATTTGTGAAATAAAGATGTCCCATGTTAGGTGCCAATATTTTATGTGACTGTTTTTTACAAGGTTAATTATTTTAGTTTTAGTTTTTTTTTTTTTAACAGGGTATTTGTCACTTTTTAGCGGTGCCAGTCAGGTATCCCTCCTGACAAGTAGGATCAATATATATAGATTTTTAAACCAGTCACACAAGGACCATACACTTTTGCGTGTGTAGACCCTTACAAATAAGGAATGAAAACTTTTCACAAAAAGACAACAAAAAATTAGGCTTAACAGTCCTTGTATTTCAAAAAGAAAAATAAATATATAGCCATCAAAAAATAATCACAAAATTCTTCTCCAAAAATAAATGTCCATTATAATCCAACGGATTAGGGCTCCAATATAGATTGCCCCACAGCAAGAGCTGTGAAATAACAAGAGAAAATAAAAAACATAAGTGTCTATACACAACAAAAGTCCTACAATTGCATAAAAAAACAGCACAAACAAACATACATAGAATGGACTTACAGGTCTGATGAGAAAATAATCTTGCTCAGAGGCAGGCGCTGGAACAGGTTTTCTGTTGTTGGTTTCACTAGATAAATATATTTAAAATTTATTTTATTTTTTGTAATGGGGCAAAATTATTAATTTATATTATCAGTAAGTATAGCACTTACGGAGGACCTTTAACTGTGATGTCACCGGCTTCCGGGTAATTGTGATGACACGTCAGCACGGCAGGAGCACAGAATGAAGTTTCTTTGTTTGTTTGGTTTTCTCCTTTTCCTTAATGATCAGTGGGATCCAGAACAGTGGCAAAATACTGAAAGCACGAGGGATTAAACGGCCTCGGACTGACTTTGTTACTGGTCGATAGAACGGAATATGCAGACGTAGTAGCAGCAGCTGTTTCTGTTACGCTGTCTGCTGAGACACTGACATTTTCAAACTGGAGCTAGGAGTCAGATTGAACAGCGGACCAATCAGGTAAGTGCATGTGTTAAATGGGCGTAAAGAAGGCGTGTCTTGAGCTGTGAAGATGCAGGAGGGTTTATGAATAACGGTGCAGCCAGCTCTGTGCAACAAGCAGGTTGTCACAACTTTGAGGCACACTAGATCCCAGCCTTGCTGCTCCTACAGTGGCTTTCCTTCTTTGGTTTAAGCCTCTTCTTCAATGTAAAGCTTTACCTTCCTTTCCACTATCTACATCTATGTGGGAACTAGGGCTGCAACTAACGATTATTTTGAAAATCGATGAATCGGCCGATTATTTTTTCGATTAATCGATGAATCGGACACAAAATATTTTTTTTATATTAACCTCTTTATTCCAAAATAAACATTTTAGACAGAACAAACAAGCACACAAGTACAGGTTGCTCATTAACTGTACTGGTGCTATATGAAAAATTAAATGTTTGTTTTAAAACTACGCAAACTTACATGAGAAATGTAGCTGTACATCCACAAAATATAGGCTACTTTGTTTCATAAAGTGCAAAAAGAGACATTTTTGTTTTTTAAAGCCCCTAAGGGGTTCAAACAATAGGCCCCCCCCATTTCAACAAATGAGGTTTTTTTAGACTAGAAGAGTTCTGCCTTTTAAGACAGGAAAGTATAGCAGTTAAAGTTGCTACTTGAGAAAATACTGAACCATAGAGATAAAAATAGCCCTGTGATTCAAATTATAAATTGTATTTGGAATAAAAATGAGAGAAGTAGGGGTGCTAAAAAACACATCCTCCAAAGACAGATATTTACATGGGAATGTGGCAGATAATTAATTGACATATTACTGATCTTGCTAAGGAAAGCATCAGATGAGCTACCTGAGAAACTAACGTTACGTTTCCCCACTTTAAAATGAAACAAACATGGTTACTCATCCTGCTGATCAGCTCTCTTCACTGCCATCGAAGGCTCCAACATGTTTTCTTTTCAGGTGCTGCGTCATAACAGTGGTGCTTCCGTGCCATGTTTATTTGTCTTTACAAAAGTTGCATGTTACGACTTTTTTCACTTTACAAAGGCTATTTTAATTATTGTGATCAATTTGCGCCGTCAATCCCGGGGCATGCGCGCTTCATTTGCAGTCTGGACGCTGAGGGTAAACTCCTCACTAAAATCCTGCGGCTCGGACTGCAGCGCTGAGAGGGATTCTTGTGGGAGAGGGAGAAAGGCGTTGGGACGGGGGAGGCGCCCCACGGCAGCAGCTGCCGCTGGAGGACAAGAGTAGGAACGATACATGCTTTCACGTAAGAGTCTCCAAAAGCCGCCAGTGACACCGTAAAAAGTCGCCAGATTTGTCGCTAGTCGCTTTTTAAAAAAATAGTCGCTGGAGGGGTCTGAAAAGTCGCTGAGTTGGCAACACTGCAACTGCGGCGCTGACTCGCTCCGCCATATTTTTTTTTCTTCCCCGGGATGACCGCGGCGGCGGATTACGCATTAATCGCGCGACACAACTAATCGATGATTAAATTCGTTGCCAACGCTTTTAAAAGTCGATTTTTATCGATTTTATCGATTCGTTGTTGCAGCCCTAGTGGGAACAATGCAGAGAACCGGCCCTGTAGGTCAGGGGTGAGATGCCATAAATGGTACCGATACTATGAGACATGGTTGGTTGGTAGACAGACTAATTAGAAGCCCCCCTTTGACCTCACCTCTGACCTCTTAGGCTATGTCACATGAGATCTTTAAAGTGGAGCCCCTGAACACAAAGAGCTCTCAAATCTAACAGATAAAGTATTTTCTCGTATTCATTTTGGTGTCTTTATCCTACATGATTGTCATGTTTTTTTTTTGAACGTTTCACAGTATAGCCACAAAGTATATTTTACTGAGATACTGCATCAAACAAATAAAAGCTGTGTGTATTGGTGAAGAAGAAAGAATTGAATACAGAATATAGTAATAAATCCAGCCTTTAGATCTTTGTCGAGGGACTTGAGTGAACAAACACCATAATGAATCTAATGGAAAACACCAAACATGCCTGAGATCAATTTGTGCCCTGGTGGGGGCAGCATCATACTGTGGGGATTTTTTTTTTCCTCAGGGACAGGTAAGCTGTTCCTAGTCGATGATGAAGATGAATTAAGCTAAATATAATATAACTCTTTAAGAAAACCTCTTCATATTTTTAGCATTTGAACTAAATTAGTGTTTTTGTCCCATTCATACTCATGTGGGATGTCGTGTTGGATTATAACGGAAAATTGGATTAAGGTGTTTATAAGAAGATTCTACATGTGAAAACATTCAAAGAGGTGTAAATACTTTGACTCTGCAAAATTAAACACATCATGAAGACTGTAGTGAAAACTCGGGTTTCCAAACTTTGAACTTAGAAGACTTGGAACTCACAATGACAATAACTCAAACCTTGACACCCATATGGCCCAGAACTCGTTGCATGATGCATTAAACAGGACTTTCCTCAGTTTGAGCTCTGAAAGAGAATGGGGGTTTTCGACTACTGTGTATCTTGTACGACCTTTGTGCCAAAGTGCTAAATAATAAATAATACATTCTATGATGCTCATGCATTCAAACAAAAAATATATCACATCAGATTTATAAAAGAGCCCATTTTTCAGAGAGCTATGGTTAAAAGCCTGGTTAAAAGCTAGAACCACAGACAAATGAACAGTTTAAGGCAAACTTGAAAACAGACATAAATTGGAAAATAATAAATAAATTCTTTGCTTCTTTGCTCTTATCAGGTTTCAGCAGTTCACCGATACTTACTGATTGATGATTGGTATCAATTAAATCAAGTCACATACTGTTACCCCAGAGTTTTTTATGGTGAGGTGCAGCACAAAATACTTTCAGAATTTAAAAACAGACAGAAGCATAAAATCACCAGGATTAGCAAAGGTAGAAATAAACACACTCACACACTTTTTTTGTACCCAGACAGTAACAAATAAACAAAAACAGTGCAGCCCTTAATGTTGAGCCACTATTTATCCTGGGATGTTATTGTTTTTTGAGCGAACAGTTGGTTTGTTTTTGTTTTTTTCATCTTTGCGTGCAAGGAATGGATCTGGGCTGGTTGTTGGTATTTATGTGACTCACCTTCTGGCATAAGGTATCTAAATCAGATAGTGATTCCAAGTGAGTACTGATATGATTTCATGTTGTCGTTTGATGTCCCATGCAAAAAAAGAGGTATGAAGAATGACTGCTTCACATGCAGTGGTGGATGAAGTACTAAACAGTGGTACTTGAGTAAAAATTTTAATGCTTATAGTCAAATATTACTCAAATACAAGTAAAAAGTTACTCGGTCAAATAACTACTCAAGTTAAAGCATTGAAGTACACATTTTTTAAAATACTTAAGTATTCAAAGTACATGCATTTAAAAGAACTTAAGTATTCAAAATTGCAAATTATTTTTTTCCCATCAGATTCTTTCTGTATAATTTTCAGAGTTATTTTAAAGAAACTTGTAAATTTCAAAAACCACATGAGGAATTGATGCGTAGAACCACCTGCTACACATTCTAAACCACCTGTAAAGAACTTCAGCATAAAAATGCCACTAAAAATAAGGATAGCTATTTGGATTATTATGTCTTATTTAATACAACCCCCCCAAAAAACAGGAAAGGCTTGATTCTCCTGACTTACTATGGAATAGAGGTTTTAGGTTGAATCTATTACCACAAAGAAAGTACAACTCTGATTTAAGAACCACTGAACCACTTGGCCACATGTTAACAATTAACGTGTTAATAAAATTTGTAAACTATGAATAATATCTACCCTGAGCTGCTCACATCTGTGGAATGTCATGCTCTAAAACAGTTGTGTCCGAATTCATTCCTAAGAGGTGCTATCTTGCTGAAATTGTATTTCAAGACAAAAAAGCAACAGTGGATTAAAAACCTAAGCAAAGCCAAAAAGAAAACAAGGAACTAAAAATGTAGGGGAGTAGAAAGTACAATATTTGACTTTGAAATGCAGTGGAAAGTTATAAGTAAACCCCCAAAAATTACTTAAGTAAAGTAAAGCTACTCAATAAGTTCTTAGGTACAGTAATCAAGTCATCATACTTTGTTACTTTCCACCACTGCTCACATGCTTTGGTAAAAAAAAAAACGCAGTATTAGATAGAACAACAACATAGTCTGGAAATATGTAGAGGAAAAGATGAGGATTGAAGATTTTCTAAATTGTCTTTCAACAGAAATAATTTGCATTGGAAGTTACTTATAATGGTGTTATACTATTATTTTCTGTTTTTTAAGGAACATGTGAATAGATAAAGATCACAAAATATTTGGGTGTTACCAATATAAAAAAATAAAAGAAACAAAAGTTTAAAATTACCTTTTATATCCAGTGAAAAGAAAAAACTTGTTTATTAGCTGGAGGTGTTCACAGAGGAGTGATGAAGTAGCAGAGATGAGAATCAGCTCCTAAGTCGAAAGTTGTGGTTCAAAACTGGAATTAAAGGTACACTATGCAACCGGTGTTGATTTTCCAGCTAGGCTCCCCCAAGAGGGCGAAAGTAAAAGTGCACTGTCGTAAATATGCACAGCTGTTCTCCTGGTTTCTCCGTCAAGCCAGGCGCGGTTGTTTTGAGCTTAGCAGACAGGCGAACGCAACGAATGACTAATGCTGCGTTCACACTGGACGCAGCTGGCGCGACAGAAGCAGCGAGTTTACATGCAAAGTCAATGGTTGACGCGCGTCAAGGCGCAGCAAAAGGTCCCGCGGTGCGTTTTGAGCAGCAGGCGCAGCGCGTCTGAGCAGCTGAAGCAGCGCGTCGGGCGCGTTTA